AAAATAAGAATTAAATAGAACATATCAGCTTGCACAAATAATATTGCTCCAAAATGAAAGGAGTAAAGCATCAGCCACCAAAACCAAAGGAGAATCAATAACAAAAATAATAAATTAGCCCTATCAAAGACATAAAATAAATTAGTCAGTGAGTAAAAAGCCAGTGTCACTAAATAGACTCTCAAAGAAGAACACAGCCTTGGGTATTTAAGTTGTCCACCTTCCAATCACCAGTCATAATAGCAAAATGGATATCATAGCTACTAGAAGATATTCTTAAAACTGACAACTTACCCTTATTGTATTGTCCATGGACCAGAGTAAGCATTTGCCCCCAACAGTTAAACATGTCACAACGTGAGAGTGGCCTCTTAGAGATCCAGCCAGATGAAAAGGATTCAGTTCCAGGACTACCTTCCATGCCAAAATCCCCCCATCCTGAAACCCAATCAAGCAATTAACTCTCCAGACCAATTTAAAGACCAGAAAGATGATGCACAAATTCATGACAAATGACGTAACCTCTCGATTACATGTTAAACAAGAGGATGTGTCCTATATAAAAATGGTGAATAAAGACATAAATAATATTTTTTTCTTTCATAAATCAACAGATTTGTATTAATAATAAAAAAACTAAAACCATATCATTGCAAAAAATAATCTAATAGTTCAAGTTACCTGTGCCCCAGCAAACAACATTTCATTAGCAATAACCATGCAATAGACTTCCACTGTTCATTAAGGCTAAATTCAGCCGATGACTCAATGTTCCATGCCTATAATCACCAATAAACACAAAATCAGCTTTGAAACTAAAGTTAAAGGATGGAACAGATTCAATAAAGGAAAACACAAAAGGAATATTTAGCTATAGGCTAACCTTAACAGCATTGGGCATGCCTATAAAGACCCATGCCCCTCACAAATCAACAGCCAACTTCATCACCCAGATTGATTACACCAGCACATTGACCAGTATGACAGTCCCAAAGTCTTACTATTCCATCTCTACTGCCTGAATAAAGCTTGTCGACCCTAAAGGAAGGGCAATCCCACTGACAGCCTGTCTTGAACATTTAAACATTACATATGTTTTCTTAATATCATAATAAGTGAAAAAAGTGTAAACCATGATAACAAAAAGTATTTGACAAGCCAAATATAAAACCAAATATATATCCATAAACCATGCAAAGAACTGGTACACATCTGTCAAATGCTCTCCTTCCCTCAAAGCCAAACAGAGTTAAAAAAAAAAAAAAAAAAAAAAAAAAAAAAAAAAAAAAAAAACAAGATATATGATCACAAGCATACCTTCTTGTGCCCATCAACTTTGCTAGCATTGAGATCCCATTCCCGCAAAACCATAATGTATAACTGACAGTTATCACCTTCCACACATTCCAGATAGCCAGTGTTGACAGACCTTGGTGGTGTCTTCAAAGTACTTATTTTGTCTCCACTCAACACTTCCAGTAGAAGAAGCCAAGGGTTCTTAGGTCTTTTATATTGGGGATCTTTCTGATTTGAATACGCGTAGTTCCATCTTCTGACCCACTGGAAGTCCATACATTCTTTCGGCTACTAAAGTTGGGATTCTTCCTTGGCCGGTTTTCAGGTAAATCACTTGAAGTTTCGGTTAATAGTCGGGGTTGGTGGTTGTATATGCAAAACCACGGTTTCTATTGCACTTTCCAACCATATTGAATCTACATAATACGCCGCTGGCAGGCTGTCCTCCAACAGTAAAATGATCGTTCCCTTTGATATGAGAGTCCTCTTGATACCTTAACTCCATACTATAATAAGAAGATATAGAGAAGAATCAATGAACGCATAGACATATTACCGTTCCTTCAAAGACGACCCAAATCACAACGGTCCCATCGAAGATCCAAATGTCAAAAGCTAAACCCACAATCTCTGACTGTTGTATCAGTTGTAGGAAGGAAATCTGAATTTTTCAAGGAACCAAGAAAAATAACAAACTATTTTATACGGGAACGCATGGCGAAGAACCAGATTGTCGAACCTTTGATGCTCCCATTCCAAGTAAAAAAAAAAAAAAAAAACCTTACCTAACCTATCCAAAACAGTAAAATTAAATCTAAATCCACAGTAATCGAAATCTTGAGAAATGAGCGAGTGATCTTGATATTCCACCCTATTTTTTCAGTTGAATACGAAAACGCTTGACCCACAAAGTTAACATAATGACTTCCTTAATTTTTCCAACCTTGTTTCCTCCTAAACAAACATATTAGCCAATTCGTTAACATTCCACTTATCCTTAGTAGTGTTATAATTAATTTGAAAAGGCCTATACTTAGGAGAAAATGAGTTTAGAACGAACTACACCAAAATGAGTTATCCTCCATCATCCTCAAGGTCTTTAACCTTGCTGCAACAGTAGTCATCTTGATGGTATATATGTTCTTGCATCCTTCTTGACCTATCAAACTTTATTGTTGTGGGTTGTGCCATTAAAATACCAGCAAGTGATTTGTCAGTAGAACGAAAACGTTCTTCCACAAACTCAAGGTATTCCTTTGCTCTTTTTGTTTGTGGAATAGTGGTGTTAATGTTGTTGGCAATAGTCATTCGAAAAAACACAAGGCTTAGTCTGTTAGACCATTTCAATGCTTTATGGTATAACATCTTTTCCTAACTGCTTAAATCTGTAATAGCAGGAAATTTAACCCCTTAAATACCTAAATGGAACTTGACTTGTTCACACAATTCAGAGAAATTTAACCCCTTAAATATGTTTGGAATAAATGAACCAGAGGTACCAACTTGCAATTTCACTGAACCTCGGGTGGGAAACATGTCGTTTACTTGGAAAAATAAGCCAATTTCTATGATTCCTGAATTGAATTGAATGTAATTTTGAACTGAGAGTTGTTGAAAAAAAGTCAAAAAGAATCCTCATTTCATCTGCATCTACTGGATTGAAGAATCGACCCCATTAATTAAACAAATATCACATTACCAACTTTTTAACACTCTAATTAACCCGACAACGACGCAGCATCCACATATCTTAGAAACATAATCATTTATTAAATGAAATATGTGCAATTAGTCAAGGAATGAAAACATCTACTTGAGAATACATTAAATGTTTTCCATCAGAATTATGCGATATAGCACCAAGAAAAACTAGCCCTGTCCCCATCCGGGTCAAGTAATTAAAGAGGATTTCACTAGTTTATTGTTTCTATTTGAGGACCCAAATTGGAGGTTCATATTTAATAACATCTGAAGCTGAAGAACCACGTTCAAACAAACCGGAAAGCTCTTCTTTATTTCTTTTTGACCACCATAAATTGAACAAATATATATCATGATGCATGTAAAACATTTATCATATTCCAAAATGTTCTAACGTCAAACAAACATAAAATTTACGTCATTCTATATTATATAGCAAGCCAATTAGCAAAAGGCATATGGATAGGATCTCATCACCTACCATATCCTCTACAGAACCTAATAATTCATCAGGAATGGCCATATCCGTGAACTATATGCTGATAATATGCATAATATGACCGAAACGTGTATGGTGCTTCAATTATTTATATATATAATATTGAAAAATATCAATCTCCAGTTTTATTGATTTTGCGTGCAACCTTGGCTAAACGAAGAGGTACACTTGGTATGAATATTAGGTTATTCTTGTTGAGTATGTCAAGTTTTATGCATGACATATATCTGTACCGGTTTCTATTATAGAATCGGTTAGTCAATACGACAAATTAATCAACATTAATATTACGTTTCAACAATTCTTCTCACAGATTCACTACTATTCATAGTCAATTATTCAAATATAATTTCTTCTTACTTATCGCATATGTAAACATCAACTGATTACACCGATATCATAAATATGCTTCACTACCAACATATATGTTCTTGAAACCCTAATAAATTCACGAAGAAAAGAGAGGGCAAATGCTACTAACAAAGCTTTTGTATGATATTTTTACGTCCACAATTCACATGGAGCTTCCTGTAACAAGTTACTTTATGTTTTCATTGAAGAGAAAAAAGATGTGCGAAAAGAAAAACAAACGGGTCTAACTTCTTAATATGTATTTATGAACTCGCAAGCAACTACCTTGGAAACTTCCTAGGTTGAGAAGGAGTAATCTTGATAACAAGTCCCGGGAACACATCATCAGGATCATGAATATGAGGATTACGCTCAACTATGAAAGGGTCGCCGCACTTATCGCTGATGGTGTGAAGGGTTTCTCCTTCTCCAACAACATAAATTTCATCACAAGGTCGCTCTAGAAACTGGTTGCCTTTGAATTTTATTGGATCATTCGTGATATTACTGGACTCTCTGAAAAAGCCAAGCAAAATAAGAGCTACAAGTATTAAGGCACAGTACCAAGAAGCAGCATCAGCTACAGCTCTTGAAGTAAGCAAATGACTGTTTGAATTGGAGAGCTTGGAAGCCATGAGAGGGATTAGAGAAGAGAAAAGACAGAAAGTTGAGGAAAGAAGGGATGTTGGGGAGTTAAATATATAAAGGGAAGGGAAGCACTAGGCGGCATGAGAGGTGTGAGGGCCAGTGTTGGCGGTTTTAATGAAAGGGAGTTGGAATATTGAAAAAAATTGGCCGCGATTATTTAGCGTTAGTGTTACGTAACTCACCTTCTTTTCTCAACCCACAAGACTCATCCAATCAAATCGTGGTCTTTTTAAATATTAATAAATTAACCTTTGCTTGATTGGTTTTCTCTAGAGTGGTGGCCATTTACGTTGGGTTTGCAAGCGAAATTGGTTATCCTTTGAAATCTAAGATCCTCCAAACAGCGATCTAATTACGAGCGTCATAATTATTTTTTTATTTTATTTTATTTTTCCTCTTTTATCAGATTTTATCAGTCATTGTTTAATAGTTAATTAGTTATATGAGAGCCGATTGCATATAATCTTGACTAAACCATAGAGCTTCAACGCAATGAAACAGAAACGAAACACAAAGCAAAATCTACGAGAAATTTTATTCAGCATAAATAATAGAATTCTACCAAGACTTAAACAAGCTTTGCTGGGATCAAAAACCATATGTTATGCTGGTTTCAGATATGACCCCATGGTGGTGATCTCTACCCCCTCCTATATACAAAGCCGAAAAAGAATGATCCACAATTTACAAGGCAACTTCTTCGTACAAATTATAATCGCTCAGCCACACCACTCGACTTTGCCAACAACTTCCACACGCTTAACATCCCAGTTCCATCACCAGTGAAAAAGAGGCCATCAGGACCTATCTGAATTTCTCTCACTTCACGTTTTGAAAATATCCGGCCCCTTTCAGTGAACCTATACCAGGAAAGTTTGTTAAACAGGCATGCAGAAACCAAAGATATCTGTCAGCCAGTAGATTATTCTTATAAATTAAAGAAGAAGATGGCACTCACGATGGCAACTCATAGAGGCGAGTAGAATTGTCATTACAAGCACAAAGCAATACTGGTTGTCCATCTGCATCATTCATCCCAGAAAGCACAAGCACACCCTGTAACAAGCAAATTACAACAATAAAATCAATCAGTTCAAGCCCAGCATTCACAGTTAATCAACAGCACTTTTATGAGCCCATCAAAAAAATTGGGGGTTCGGTTCTGTACCAATCAAACGAGTTCAACTTAATCCAATCATAATCAAACTAAACATCAAAGCTATTCATGCATGGCCCAGATATGTCACATCTCACATGTGCATGCCACATTCACACAGAGAAGGTAGAAGCTGGATAATGGGAGGTGGTATATTTTTATTAAAATCCTAAATCTATCATGCATCACATATAATAGAGTTGGGATCAAATATACAAGGTGAAACAAAAGCAGAGGAACTAGAACAAAGGAGGCCACAGTTCAAGCACAAAAAGAAAATGCACATACAAGCAAAATCATATAGTACAAAAATAATTATAACTAAACCACATACGTGTTCTTCGTTATGAGTATAGGTTACTTCCAAGTTGCCTCCTTCTGCAGCAACCCAAACTTTTATCGTCCGGTCCAAAGAACAGGATAACAGATACTGATCCCAACATAGAAGAGACATTGGAGCATCAGTATGGCCGTCTAGTGTCATAACAGACTGTAAAGTATCAACGTCCCAAACCTAGTTTAAGAAAGAAAGAAGAGAAAGAAAGAGATTAGCACATCAGGAAATTCATAAACTGCACCAAACAGCAAAAATTTCTTAAAACTTCTAAATCAGGGTAAAATAATATATAAGTTAAAACAAAAGTTCAATATCAGATGCATATTAAAATAAGAATTAAATAGAACATATCAGCTTGCACAAATAATATATGCTCCAAAATGAAAGGAGTAAAAGCATCAGCCACCAAAACCAAAGGAAGAATCAATAACAAAAATAATAAATTAGCCCTATCAAAGACAATAAAAATAAATTAGTCAGTGAGTAAAAAGGCCAGTGTCACATAATATAGACTTCTCAAAGAAGAACACAGCCTTGGGTATTTAAGTTGTCCACCTTCCAATCACCAGTCATAATAGCAAAATGGATATCATAGCTACTAGAAGATATTCTTAAAACTGACAACTTACCCTTATTGTATTGTCCATGGAACCAGAGTACAGCATTTTGCCCCCAACAGTTAAACATGTCACAACGTGAGAGTGGCCTCTTAGAGATCCAGCCAGATGAAAAGGATTTTCAGATCCAGGACTACCTTTCCATGCCAAAATACCACCATCCTGAAAAACCCAATCAAGCAATTAACTCTCCAGACCAATTTAAAGACCAGAAAAGATGATGCACAAATTCAAATGACAAATGACGTAAACCTCTGCGATTTACATGTTAAACAAGGAGGATGTGTCCTATATAAAAAATATGGTGAATAAAGACATAAATAATATTTTTTTTCTTTCATAATATCAACAGCATTTGTATTAATAATAAAAAAAACTAAAACCATATCAATTGCAAAAAATAATCTGAATAGTTCAAGTTACCTGTGCCCCAGCAAACAACATTTCATTAGCAATAACCATGCAATAGACTTGGCCGACTGGTTCATTAAGGCTAAATTCAGCCGATGACTCAATGTTCCATGCCTATAAAATCACCAATAAACACAAAATCAGCTTTGAACTAAAAAGTTAAAGGATGGAACAGATTACAATAAAGGAAAACACAAAAAGGAGATATTTAGCTATAGGCTAACCTTAACAGCATTGGGCATGCCTATAAAGACCCATGGCCCCTCACAAATCAAACAGCCAACTTCATCACCCAGATTGATTACACCAGCACATTGACCAGTATGACAGTCCCAAAGTCTTACTATTCCATCTCTACTGCCTGAATAAAGCTTGTCTGACCCTAAAGGAAGGGCAATCCCACTGACAGCCTGTCATTGAACATTTAAACATTACATATGTTTTCTTAATATCATAATAAGTGAAAAAAGTGTAAAACCATGATAACAAAAAGTATTTGACAAGCCAAATATAAAACCAAATAAATGTTATCATAAACCATGCAAAGAACTGGTACACACTGTCAAATGCTCTCCTTCCCTCAAAGCCAAACAGAGTTAAAAAAAAAAAAAAAAAAAAAAAAAAAAAAAAAAAAGAACTGTAAAAACAGATACTGATCACAAGCATACTTCTTGTGCCAAAGCTTTGCTAGCATTGAGATCCCATTCCCGCAAAACCATGAATGTATAAACTGACAGTTATCACCTTTCACACAATTTCCAGATAGCCAGTGTTGACAGACCTTTGGTGGTGTCTTCAAAGTACTTATTTTGTCTCCTAACTCAACACTTCCAGTGAAGAAGCCAAGGCGTTCTTAGGTCTGTTATAATTGGGGATTTTCTGATTTGAATACGAGTTCCATCTTCTGACCCACTGGAAGTCATACATCTTCGGCTACTAAAGTTGGGTTCTTCCTTGGCCGGTTTTCAGGTAAATCACTTGAAGTTTCGGGTTAATAGTCGGGGTGGTGGTTATATGCAAAAACCTACAGGGGTTTCTATTGCACTTTCCAACCATATTGAATCTACATAATACGCCGCTGGCAGGCTGTCCTCCAACAAGTAAAGATGATCGTTCCCTTTGATATGAGAGTCCTCTTGATACCTTAACGTCCATACTATAATAAAGAAAGATATAGAGAGAGAATCAATGAACAGCATAGACATATTAACCGTTCCTTCAAAGACGACCCAAATCACAACGGTCCCATCGAAGATCCAAATGTCAAAAGCTAAACCCACAATCTCTGACTGTTGTATCAGTTGTAGGCAAGGAAATCTGAATTTTTCAAGGAACCAAGAAAAATAACAAACTATTTTAATACGGGAACGCATGGCGAAGAACCAGATTGCGTCGAATCCTTTGATGCTCCCATTCCAAGTAAGAAAAAAAAAAACCTTAACCTAACCTATCCAAAACAGTAAAATTAAATCTAAATCCACAGTAATCGAAATCTTGAAGAATGAGCGAAAGTGATCTTGATATTCCCCATATTTAAAAGTTCATTCTCCGATCCTTAACCAACCGCAACATCATCAACATGAAACTTTAAAACTAAACCTATGAGAAAGAATAATAAAAAGAGAACCCTAATATGCGTCCAAGTATATAAAAAATCGGATCTGATCATCATGAACTTGGAGATTATAGCTTTTTCGAAGTCCATTCTATAAATAAACCCAAAGAATAACAGCACAGCCTTGATTCAGAGAGAGATATCGCAGCAAACCTGAGATTCCAAGAAGTCGAACTCTGGGAATATCGATAATAGAGGATTCACGAACAAAGTCGAGAAGGATTTAGAAAGCGAAAAGTGGATTATGAGAGAATTGGTGTTATGATCTCGGAAAAATTCTTTGAACAAGTCTCCTTGTTTATGCGATCATATATATATATATATAGACACGTATGTCGCGTTGCTTTTACGAATTCCGTGCGGAATAAGAAAACGATTAACACTTCATCCAACCAATGTCCGCCAAGTGGAACAATCAGTACTTAACGCGTGTCAGATATTTTAGGGCATGTTTGGCTTATTATTTTTACCCATATTTTCAATCCTATTCTCCAAATAATGTTTGACACATTATTTCAAAAATATTATCCTATTTTTTAAATACTTTTAGACCCTATAAGGTTATTAATTTCATTAAATACACCCTGAAAAAAAAGTTTAAAAATTAGCAAAAACACTCCCATAACCCATACTTGCCAGATTTCGACAACCACTATCGTTGGTAGTCAGAATCTGTATAACGGCCTATCTGCCAACCATAAATGGCCGGAAGTTCAACGATATGGCCTTTTTCGGCCAGATCCACCACGGATCTGGCCGTAACGACGGCCATATCTTTGGCCGTTGTTTTGGCCTTTTCCGGCTGTGGATCTAGTCGGAAAAGGCCATAACAACGCATTACGATACAAATCCGACCGATCTGTGTAGTAACGTGATTTTCCGGCCAGATTCTGACGATAGTGGCCGGAATCTGACACTGCAGGTAGTGAGAGTGTTTTTGTCATTTTATACATTAAGGTGTTTAATTAAATTAGCAAACATAGGGGTTTTTTTATAAATTTTTAAATTTTACCTCGTAATACTCCCCTATCCAACTACCTAATATTATTTCTAAAATCCTATCCAAAATAATAAACCAAACGCACCCTTAATTTCCGTTTGTGTGGCGATATTTTTCCTTTCACAATTATCCTATTCTTCTTTAAATTCTCAAAATCAACATAAAAGATGATCTTCTTAGTTTTCAATTTTAATAGGATTGGAAAAGGAAATAGGCCTTCTCTGTGACAAAACATATGCTTGAACATAGGAATTAGATTTCAAAAAGTTCCAATTAGTTAATCTTGTAAAATTCGGAAGGAATTAATTAATTATATAGAGATGTGAAACGGTGAAAGACCAGTACTTCTCATGGATCACAATTCATATCACATGGCTTAATTTTAGGTTGCCTGGTATTATATGGTTTGTCCATTTTTTTAGCAAATTTCAGATTTTGGCTGAACTTGTCAGGATAAGTTGATGGTATATATAATTAAAATCATAAACTTTGTTGAAAATTGATTAAAATATACTGTTTCAGCATTCAGGGTTGTTTATGTCGTATCTATGCAAGCATGTTGATAATTGATAAATATGTATAATTTTAAATATTATTTGTATAAATTTAAAACAAAATAAGTATAAAATGTAAATTTAGTTTCAAACAACCCCACTATTTTGTTTTATCTTAAAAATTTGGTATTAGAATTTAGAAATAAGGGTTGTCTGCACCGTATCTATGTAAGCATGTTGATAATAGACAAATATACAGAATTTTAAATGTTATATGTATAAACTTAAAGAAAAATAAGTGTGTAAAATGTAAATTTAATTACAAATGATTGTTCCTTATTTATGAATGGTCATTCTTTTAGTTGTTTCTTCATAAGAAACGATAATTCCTTTCGTGAGGAACGACCATTCTTTCATAAAGAACAATCATTCTTTATGTAAGGAACGATAATTCTTTCATAAATAACTGTTGTTACCTATGAAGGAATGACCGTTTTTTTGGTTTAGTTAAAATTATTTTGACGTGACAACGCTAATTCAAATGTCACGTAATTGGATTGTAAGAGAAGTTTGTGAGAAACAGATTATTGATGTAACATTACTCTACCTTATAATGGTTGTATGAACAATTGACTAATCAAAAGATGTCACGTCAAAGCTCGGGTGCTAGTTTACAACTTTATAAATTAGATCGTGTCATAGATATATAGGAGTAAATCAGGAGAAGAAAAAAAACTTTGTAATTTCAATTGGACATACAATAAACCAATAGAAAGAAAAAAAAAATTATTCATAATTGATTGTACATACAATCATCAATCAATTTTATTTAACTTTTTTCTTGGTCGTCAGTTTATACAACCGAAGAAACCAAATATACAATTAATAAATAATGAAAATTGAAAACTAAAAACAAATACTGTATGTTGAAAACATGAGCAAATAGCATAATGAAAAAAGAGAAAATGGCAATGTTGTAATAAAATATAGCAAATATGGTTTAAAAATAGGATGAGGAGTAAAGATGAATACGTGTCATTACATTAAAGAGACAATGAGAGAGGGAGTGATAGGCTCAATTGTCTGGATCATTACATGTGAACCCTACAGGTTTCAGATGAATACATTTTATCACACTCTCATTTCGAGGAGATTGTATTGTCTAAATGAAAACCCACAAAACACAAAAGACTAAGCCAGTTTGAACCCTAGATAATCCACAAACGCTGCTACTCAAATGGCCTCCAAAACCTTTCTTCGTCGTTGTTATTCTTCTTCTGAAAGGGTTACTGAAACCAAAATCTCATCTTTATTGACAAAATCATGTAAAGTGACTACAACTATACCAAAAGATTCAGTACACGTTGAAGAGGTAGCGAGGCTTGATAAATTCCTTCAAAAAGATTGTAAAGAAGGTACCATCACTCTTGATGAAGCACGCTATTTCTTTTGTTTAATGACTCATATGCAACCCAAACCACCGATTTCTTCATTCAACCAGTTGTTTGCAGCTCTTGCTAAGAAAAAGTTTTATGAAGAAGTTATTTTGCTGTACAAGAGAGTAGGTTCAATTGGGTTGTTGCCGGATTTTATTACTTTGAATATTTTAATTAATTGTTTTTGTAATGTGGGTAGAGTATGTGATGGTTTTGTTGTTTTTGGGAGGATTTTGAGGTGGGGTTTGAGCCCAAATGTTGTGACTTTGACTTCTTTGATTAAAGGATTGTGTTGGGAAAATAGGATTTCGGAGGCTACGAGGTTGTACAAGAAAATGGCTATGTTTGGGGTTATGCCTAACGCGATTACGTATGTGACTTTGATTAACGGGTTGTGTCAGACAGGGAAGGTAGAGGAAGCTAATGGGTTGATGGAATTGATGATTCAAAGAGGTTTGCAGCCTAATGTGGTGACATTTAATACAATGATAAATGGGCTTTGCAGGGAGGGGAAGATGGAGGAAGCTAATAGGTTGCCGGAATTGATGAGTCAAAGAGGTTTGCAGCCTGATGTGGTGACGTTTAATACAATGATAAGTGGGCTTTGCAAGGTGGGGAAGATGGAGGAAGCTAATGGGTTGTTTGAATTGATGAATCAAAGAGGGTTGCAACCTGATGTGGTGACGTTTACTACAATGATAAGTGGGCTTTGCAAGGAGGGGAAGATGGAGGAAGCTAATGGGTTGATGGAATTGATGAGTCAAAGAGGTTTGCAGCCTAATGTGGTGACGTTCACTACAATGATAAGTGGGCTTTGCAAGGTGGGGAAGATGAAGGAAGCCAATTGGTTGTTTGAATTGATGAATCAAAGAGGTTTGCAGCCTGATGTGGTGGCGTTCGCTACAATGATAAGTGGGCTTCGCGAGGTGGGGAAGATGAAGGAAGCTAATGGGTTGTTGAAATTGATGCGTCAAAGAGGTTTATCAAGAATGTCCATCAATCAAACGAAAAATGCAACACTAGAACTAATTACTAATTACTGTTCCAAGAGTTGATTTCTAAGGATTTGATCTCAATTTCACTGAAGCTTTTGTTTATACGATTTCTGGTGTGAAGCATCTAAGCGGGGTGTTTTAGTTGATGAAATGGCGGTCGTCGTGAAGAGACTAGGAGATATATCTTGAGGAGAAGAAGTGTTTTAGGCTGAAGTGAGTACAATTTAGAAATGTATTAAAGGAAGAGCGTAATGTTTATGCAACGTTTAGAAAAATGATTTTGTGTTTTCTATTGGTTTGTGAGCGGACAATAGACCATTCTAAATGAAGAAGAAGGTGTTTAAGGGTTGTTTTGTATTTGCATAATATAGTTTGTGTTAGTA